CCCCCCCCCCCCCCCCCCCTATAGGTATAGCAAAAAGAGTTTATAGATGTAGCTATTGCATGATCTAACTGAGTTAAAGAGAGCATGTAACGGATCAGTGGAAGAGTAAATTAATGAAATCGACACAATGTTTTGTTGTTCCTTTCGAAATAAATGTCGTCAAGTTGCCTTTGTGAATTATATGTTATAAGTTATAACAGGTTAAAACACATTGTTAGAGTAATTTTCTTTTTTACATTATCAATATTTTTAAGTTAAATCCTTTTAAGCTTTATGTTTAAGCAATTCCAATGAAAGAGCTAGCTTCCGGGGAAGTGAACTTTTGGCCCTAAACATTTTCTCAGGCAGTTTACGAGGTAAACATAATTATATATATNGCTAGGCAAGCCAATCCATTAAACACTTAGAAAATCGGATTATAAGAGTTGAATTCGATTCTATAAGTATTTTAGTATGTTAGGTTGCCTAGCAAGTGGAGTTAGGCGTCCCCACGACCTATGGCGAATTTTTGATTGCGATATTAAGTGAGTAATTATGGACTCCAACTCTAAGAATATCAAATAGTTCCATAAGAAAGGAAATTAAGAAGGCAAAATTATTCTTGTATGATTTTTTAAAATACAACGGACAAAGAACGAGTTTTTAGCCAATATTGTCCCTTATCTTTAAGGGTAGGTCTATTTTGGTTCCTCAAATATAACTTTGAGCATCTTTAGTCCCTTAAGTATGCTAAAGTGGAGCACCTTTAGTCTCACTGACACAATATGTTCAAAAACTAACGGTGTTACCCAACTCTAATTCATGAAGCAAATCTTCTGCTCTGAAGCAAAACGTTTCATCTCCTTTTATAGGATAACACAAATTATCACTTTAATTCTTCATTTTAGATAATGTCTTCTAAAATTTTGACCTTAAAAATATCCCTTCTGTGCCAGTTTTTAATGAGAAAATGACACTGTATAGCTGCTACAAAAATAATAGCCGAAAAAGATACAAAGATACAAATATATATATATATATATATATATATATATATATATATATATATATATATATATATATATATATATATATATATATATATA